GCTACCATTTGACTCAAGGAGGTACCAAGGGTGATGGCGGCGATGGTGTCGACGCCCTGGCAAGCCTGGGCAGGTGCGAGCGGCGAGCGGCGAGCGCCAGCACAAGCGTGTGCACCTGTCAGCCTCGGATGACGGACGAGGCAAGAACAAGTGGACGAGTGGGGGAACGAGGGACCATGTACAGGCAGGAAGGATGAGTGACCAGGGCTTGCCAGGCAGACTGGGAAGGTGGATTCTCCAGTCGTGACGAGCTATGGTTGGCTGTGAATGAAGGAAAGGCCTGGCCCCCTGGTGGTCCTACCATACGCCCTCTACTACATAGTACGTACCCTCCTCTCTTTCTCTCTCCTGACGAAGTGGCCACAAGGCAACCAGGGTCTGCATACCCGCACTGAAGCACCGCCCACTGTTACTGTACCTTCTACAGGAAGTGGCCCCTGCTGCTGCCTTGGTGGCCGGCCCTGGGCCTGCTGGCGTTGTCTCCATCGTTGTCGCCCTTGCCCTCGCCCTCGCCCTTGCCCTCGCCCTCGCCGGACACGTTTTCCCCACCCCGAATCTCAAACGCGGAAGTAGCCATCACAGCAGTGCCGCCCGCAGCAGCCCCTCCGTCACCTTCGCTTGCCCTTTCGTGACTTTGGTTGACGAACGCATGGTCGTGTGGTGCGCAGGGCAAGGAAGCACTAAATGTGTACTGTGCATGTACAGTACCTGCTGTATGTACAAGTACTCGATGGCACAAAACGCGAACCATCTCGGAGGCTCCCAGGGCGTCCACATTCCCTCCACCCTACATGCACCAAGCTGCTCTTCCGGCCCTGCATCACAGCAGCGGTGCAAAGGCAAGCAAGGCAAGTAGGTAGGTACATGGAAAGTACCATGTAAGTGCCTGGTGAGACCCCGTCTGTTTTTCCTTCTCTTCACTCGACGGGCTGATCCAAGCTGCCCATGTTCCCCGAGACACTTGGGACAAAAACTCGCCTCCCCCGGCTCTTGCAAGGGTACGCAAACAATTGCACCGCGCTATCAGATACAGTAGCTCGAGGCCCGAGGATTCTCCCCTGACACTGCACGACACGACTCGAAGCGCGTTAGACACACACGCTTTTCTCTGCCTCCTCTCCACTAGTAGCGAGATGGCTTGTCATGATTCTAGCTGGCTTGCCCATTCCCTTCTTACCTACCCTAGATGAAGGATAAACTGGATCAAAGCAATCAACATTTGACTGAGCTAGACCGGCCCGGATTGGCGCCAGGACACCACACACAGATCACGAGACATGCCCGCGGCGAGGGCACGGCATGATGGCATTCCATCCTTCGTCCGTCTGGTTCAGCTTGCGCTGCCTGCGCCGTGCGGTGGCGCCCGGCACGGTGACCAGGACCAAGGGGAACGAGTGGAGGCCGCAACCCAGACGGGATTCGAGACCAGATCACGGCCAGATCACACCCGTGAACTTGTGGTGGGCTGTGGGTTGTGGGCCGCAGACCTTGTGCCGCCCTTCATACTTGGTATTGCATTCACACTCACAGGCGCTGTGCCCGAGCAAGGCCCAGGATCTGTGCGATGTACCCAGTACTACTCCCTCATTGCCGACTCCTGGATGGGTAGGTCGCTTGGCAGACACATGCTAATCCCACTTACTGTGTAGCCAGCAGTAAAGCCAGCAAACCACACCCACGAAACCGAGCACCTTGTAGGTACAGAGTACAAGTGCTCTGCTAAGCTACTTTGTAAAGTGATTCAGCGCCCACACATCCGCATCCGTCTCCGTACCGCACCGCATTGCACCGTGCCCAGTTGGGTCAAGGTGGCCCCCCCCCCCCCAGGAACAAGTTGTTCACCCTTCTCCCCCGCTACCTTGCACCGGCCGGTGCCGACTTTTTGACCTTACTTTTCCGGCTAACTATACCCCTTGGCGGGGATGTGGTACTTTTAAAGAACTCTGGTGGCCTTTTCTTGGTCAAAAATTCTGAGTAT